AAAGGGTAAAGATAAATAAATAAAATACTGTATCAGAATTTATTACAAAAATCATTTTGACAAAATATATGAAGTGGTAAAAATAAATGAATAACAATAAATAAATACTTTTTAAATTTGTTAGAAGAAACATTTAAATTAAATTTCAATTAAACATTTCATTAAAATCTCTACGAACAAAGTCAGTGATACGTCAATTTTTATTATTATTTTCCAATATGGAAGGCGACTTGTTCCAAAGCCATATATGCGCAGAACGGGTCAAAATTTGGTATACTTAGGGCCTGCGCACAATAGAGGAACAAGAATTAGATATTAAGATTTCAACCTATCAGAAACCGCGTATTCCGATGTAATCAGTTTCTGATAGGTTGAAATCTTAATATCTAATTCCTCTTCCTCTATTGTGCTCAGGCCCTTAACGAGCACACCTCTTCTTTATTACACCATAAGTTGCTCATACCAATTCACAGATTCACTACCATATTGAAAAGGGTCTTCAAATGGCGGCGTCCAATCGAAGACGACCACCCTCATGTCTAAGGTTTGTTCGCGTCGCATACTCCAACATGCTTCAACATGTTCCTACCATAGCTCTTACTCACTCTAACGAGCGCGTTTGAGTGAGTAGGAGCAGGATGATCCCGATTGATCACGGCTCGATTGGACACCACCAATCACAGCGACCGGTGCCTAGGAGCTTTGTAGTCTCAAGCGCTGTGAGTGGCTCGTGTCCAATTGAGCTGTGTCCAACTGGGTGCCACCCGGACTCTAGGGCACATGAACCCAACTGCTCCAACCACCATTTTATCTATGATCCAAGTGCTCTTTGGGTTAATTTGGAGCATGCGACGCGAACAAACCTAGGGATTCAACCACGGAGCGATAATGGACAGCAGGAATGAGGAACAGACGCATGCGCTTTACCAACATTTATCCGTTACTATCTTTCTCTCTCGTACAGATTTTTGTGTCAAGCTCAGCGTAGAGTCCTAGGGTGCGGTCCACTTGGCGATACAAATGCTTCGAATCGTTTGGAGCGTTGTTTTAACCGGTCCACATGGCGCTTCAAATGTGTCCCAATAGCACGTTTGACGTCATTAATACATCACAGGTTTCCACTTCCACCTTATTTCCAATTGCTTCCAATGCTACTGCTTGGAGAGATAGGCTGCGGTCCACTTGCTTCTTTCAAATGCTCTTAACGTTACGCTCCGATTGGTCCATTACTATTTCGAGTGCTACAATTGCTACGTGAACGCTCCAGCCAACCCACCTCCCGAGGTGAGGCAGTTGAAGCGAAGTGGGAGCAAAAACGATGACGTATTGATGACGTAATCAGAGTTGCTGGGAGTGTTCCGAAGCATCAAATGGCCCAGTCATATCAGTGCTACAAATGCTCTGTAGCGTTTGAAGCGCTAAGTGGACCACAGCCATAGTTTAACCGAAGCGTTTAGTTTGAATATACATAGCGCGGGAAAGCATAATAATAATCGAACGAAAGTATATCTGTAAAGCTGATTTTTAAATTTACATATTATTATATCGTGGCATCGTGCTACATATATTACTACAAATCGTGCTGTATGGTATATTGTGTATATTACATTATTAAAAATAAAAATTGTATAAACTATGCCGATTATAAGGTTACATGAAGGAGATACTGGAATGATTCATAATCTATAAGTTTTCGAAGAGGATGCTATTATCTTCATCATAAATATAAGTAAGCGATTCTAAAAAAACTTCACAGCGCATGTTAGCATGACTTTCATTTTATCCGTAATTGCAAAATACGTACTAACGCTTCAAAACGCTTCAAAAATTGGTCCATTTGCATACTGTTGGCAGCATTAGTAGTGCTAATGGACCGTTCTATACAAGCATATGAAAGTGAAAACGTTTGAAGTGTTTGTAGCGCCAAGTGGACCGCACCCCTAGATTTATCAGAGAGGCGCAACCGGTGTTATGCATTCTGATTCGCTGTTGCAATCTAACCAATTGCGTGACTTGGCAGCCATTTATAGTACTAGTGACATATTTCTATTTCTTTTTATCCTATACATTCTATCTCACATTATCCTACACGTCTTATCTTGTTTGACATAGTTTAAAGGCAGTTTCATAGCATGTCGGCCATGTTTAGTACTCTTCTTAACACCTTTATCATACTGACTTAAGCCGGTTGCGCCTCTCTGATAAATCTAGAGGTTTGTTCGCGTCGCTTACTCCAAATTAACCCAGAGAGCGCTTGGATCACCGATAAGATGGCGGTGGGAGCAGTTGGATTCATATGCTCCAACGCTCGGTGACACGAACAGATTTAGGACAAGTTGGGACAAGCGTCCTCCAGAAAAAAAGCGTCGCTCTGCCTCATGGACCGAGATTAATCGTAAGGGCCCAGACACAAGCTTTTGCATAACGCATAACGCATAGTGCATAAGCGAATCAACTAATCAGAAGCTTTCCTTTCCTCCCATTCCATGGAAAAGAAGAATTTCGATTGGTTGATTCCCTTATGCACTATGTATTATGCGTTATGCAAAAGCTTGTGTCTGGGCCCTTAAGGCTATCACACATGAAATGCATAACAGAGCATAAGCATAACATAAGACTGCTGGACCTATGAGCATCTAGCATAATGTCGCCATATTGATTTACATAAGATGCTCATTGGTTTAGCGGCCTTATGTTATGCTTATGCTCTGTTGTGCATTTCATGTGTGAGAGCCCTTAAATTGAGCGCCACTCTCGTTAAAGTTGACTACAGAACATAGGTTAAGATATCTGTAACAACCATGAAATATTTCTCTGAACACTACACATTCTCAATCATTAATCCAGATCTACAATAGGTGTTTTTTTGCCTTATGCCGTAAGAAACTGACCAATTACAGTCGAATCCGAGAAGAATAAGCGACTGTGATTCGCCCATTTCTTATGGCTTAAGGCTTAAAACCCTATTGTAGATCCGGGGTTACGCATGCGTAACATGCCCCAACCGTACCACCTTCCGAGATGAAGCAAATAGAGCATGCTCTTAATTGGTCGCGTTCAGCAGACTCAACTGTTGTGGAGCAGATCCGTGAGCACTCGCTGCTATTGGTGTATTCTTCTAGATCATCCAATAGCAGCGAGCGTTCACAGATCCGCTCCACACAGTTGAGTCTGCTGAACACGACCATTGATCCATGGAGTATGCTCTAACGCGACGCGAACATCTAGTCGCCATATTGGTTCCGGTGACTCGAACGTATGGGAGCACGTTGGAATGAACAGGAGCGTATTGGAGCGTGCGACGCGAACAAACCTTAGGACTCTAGTTGGAACACGTCGGAGCATGCGACGTGAACAAACCTAGGGGCTCCGCACAATAAAACGAACAGGGAACAGAGAGAACAGAGAATAAGAATTTTAACCTAAACTGTGCATTCCACAATACATGATTTCTGATAGGTTGTAATTCTTATTCTCTGCTCTCTATTCTCTATTCTTTTTATTGTGCGGAGCTCTTAAATTTCCGAACGCAGAGGCCCTGCGCACAATAGAAGAAATAAGGAATTAAAAATAAAGAATAAACAACTTTAACCTATTAGAAATCGGATACATCGGAATACACGGTTTCTGATAGGTTGAAATCGTTTATTCTTTATTCCTAATTCCTTATTCCTTCTATTGTGCGCAGGGCCAGACTTGAATAATCAAAGGTATGGTAGTATTCGTGAATCGAAAGCTTAGAACATATACTACTGGAAGGGGAATTGCCTGTGCTACCCGTATACCAAACGTGATGCCAACATGTGTGCGAGAGAGAAAGGTATAGAGTAATATTTGCGCAATGCGCATGCGTCAGTATCATCGTCTGTGTGAATTGTACAGTGTAGTGTTCTCACACAGTGAGATTCACTTCGTATGTATGTACGTTCGTAAGGCCGACATAAAAATAGCATAAAGTAAAAGTAAATATGCCGAGTAATAGTAAATATTGTTTATTGTGTGGTAATCGCGGAACTACTGATTAAAAAACTGTTACAAGGAATGTGTGATGTCTGCTCTACCTTCTTAACAGTACAGTCCTCTTCGTCTTTAATCAAACTAAAAAATAGAGGGAAATTAATATTTCCATCAAACGATGTTGTGAAAATAGTTCGATTATGTGAGATGACCATCCGAGAACATAAACACATTATTTTCACGATGAAAAATATTAAAACTGTTTTGACTGTAAAAGTATTCAAAGCTATCTGCAGTTCCGTTTTTAATGACATTAAAATGACCGAGCACATCATGCAACAGGACTTTTTAAATAATCATAAGACAACTCTGATAAAAAGTATTATTACAATTTATATTAATATAAGATTATTCCACGAAGGCAAATGCGCAACGTTAATTGATAAAAAAGATTTTATTAGACATAAGTTTTCCAAAATGATACATTTCAAAAATCAATAAACATTTTATTCCTATTCGTTGTATTTATATTTATTTACATCCACTCAAATCAATTTTACTTTAATCTCACATTGCATGCATTCTTATATTAAAATTCATTTTAACACTAATTTATTAAATACAATAGATTATGTCAATTTTATTGTTATTTTGTCTAAGATACGTAACCTAAAACTCCTGAAACAAACAGTAAAATGCGTGAGAACACTAACCAAACTGTACAATTCATTTCACACATACGATGGCACTGACGCATGCGCATTGCGCATATATTACTCTATGCCTTTCTCTCTCGCACAGATGTTGGCATCACGTTCAGCGCCCTATTCTCCTTCCAGTAGTATATGAAGATCGAAAGCGACTCTTGGTTCGCGTATAGCTTCGTGGTGACGGCAGACAACTGGCGTGTAGCGGACAGTCAATAGTGGCAAGATTCATTACGTGTGAAAGTTTTAGAGTTTGCTCGAGTTTGCTAATGGACTCGCAAGTGACTGTTTGATTGCGTTCGAGACGGCGAACGAAGACAAAGAACAGTGATAAGTCGCATTTCCAAAAATCTTGTCTCATTCCGTCATCATAACTCGATTTGATTCGTCTGTTCGCTATCACACAGCATCGTATAACCTTTGCAAAGGTAAGTGACTACGAAAATCCAGATGTATCCAGATGTATAACTCCAGTTGAATAACTTCGATAATTTTATTCCACATTTTCTTCTGTTTAAAGTAAAGGAAACAGTTTGCCGATTCATTTCTCTTCGCGATTCATAATAAATAGCGCGATTTTTCGCAATTCTTATTGCGCGAGGTCATATTCGCATATCCTCGAACGAATTTCTCACATGCCTTTCATCTCAATTCATCTCGAAAAAAATGAACAATACAAAAACGAAAAACTGAGTAAGTCGAATAAACGTTTTAAATGGTTACAAATATTTGGCAGGAGTGATCACAAAAGACGATTTGTTTCATCGGAAACTATAAAAAAATATTTTTTTCGAACTCCATTTATCTCGTCGAGCAATAATTTCACTGCTAATCGATTTGCAGGGGAAGTAATGAACCACACCAGTTATTTCCACTCGGTTATATTCTTATCTCCCCTGACTGAGGCATTTCTAACACATTGGCTGCGTCCAATAGAGAAAACAGTTTTATAATTGTAAAATTCTTCATTATGATTAGTTTATACATTTAGATCCATAAGGAATCAAAAACAAGTACCAATTGTATTGAAGAATTTTACAACAGTTGCAAGCTGCTTTCTCTGCTGAACGCAGCCAGTGTCTCTGCCCTTCTCTCAGCAGAATGGATATGCTATTGTGAAGCGATTTCGTGTGACCTCCACTCTGGCATATAAAAGAGAGAGCTTTGGAATAGTTTTTAAATAATTTAAATTCTGATATTTATGATGGATATCAAAGAGATGCCGGTGAAAGTCTTTTTCTTCTTCTTTTTGAATTCTCTTAGTGTAGGGCTAGCTTCAAACTTCCTAATATCTGAAAGTTTACTCAGACAATAGGTCCATTCTTTTATCTAAACTTGCATGGTTTATTTTTCTTCTTTTTCTTTTCACATTGAAAAGAAAAAGGAAAAAATTAACTGCAAAAAAAACCGATCTTATGTCGAGTGGAATTAGTAGAATTATTTTAAGTGAGTACAAATATTTATTAGAAGTCACAAACGTTAGTTAGTTTCATTTAAGATTTTTGTGTCTGCATTTGACGACTCTTTATGCAACTAAACCAATGAAAATCCTCTGTACCTTTAAATTACGATTCGTATGTACCTAGAGCATCTTCTATTATTCGAATGGTCGCAGCGTAGACTCTTGCATAATGCATAATGCATAGTACATAAGGGAATCAACCAATCGAAATTCTTCTCCATGGAATGGGAGGAAAGGAAAGATTCTGATTAGTTGATTCGCTTATGCACTGTGCGTTATATATTATGCAATAGTCTATACTGCGGCCTTATGAGCCCAGACACAAGCTTTTGCATAACACATAATGCATAGTGCATAAGTGAATCAACTAATCAGAAGCTTTCCTTTCCTCCCATTCCATGGAGAAGAATTTCGATTGGTTGATTCCCTTATGCACTATGTATTATGCGTTATGCAAGAGTCTGTGCTGCGGCCTTATGACTTCAGCTGAATATTCTCTTTATCCACAACACGCAGCTAGAGACGCAGTTTAGAAAGGCGTAATCTTCACGAATTACTCAATCACAGCGGTCAGCCGTGAAACAAATTTCCTCGATGCGGATGTATCATTATGATCATTGTCACTCGAGTTTTTCCCCATCGTTGCATTTCTTTGTATCGCCGCGTAGTCACCTTTAACGACGCAACATGTTACGGTGCCATCAGAGGTTGCTCCGGGTGATAAAGAAGTGAATGTATTCTGTAACGAACGTTACTCTGATTTTTCAGAGTAAACACAGAGTTACAGTAAATTTCTTGCTCTTTTGTATTTCGTTAATGATGATTAACTTTAATCTCGGTTTAACTTACTCTTCACTTTTTTCTAATTCTAATAATTAGAAAAAGATGAAGAACGAGATTAAAGTTAATCTACATTAGGCAGAAATAGACATTAAGCGAAATCGAGTACAAATGAAGGAGATAATTCGAAGCGTTCCCTTTCGCTCGGCGGTGAAAGCGGATACCTGTCGCCGGATCAGGCATAAGAATAATTGCGTGTGCAACGCGAACCTGCAACGGATATTTTTTATTTACCGCCTCTTGCCTCCACACCCCACGAGCGACCGCTAATTGATCATGATTCTCACTGTCAATGATCCAATTGTAGCCAATATCGTCAGCCCTCATCTGAGAATTTACATTGATGATAGAGTTATTACGGCAAGGATCAATTCGAACACGTGTTTGCGTATTTTATTAAAATATGCACGCATATATTGCATCATCTCTAAAGTCTGTTTTACCAACTAAACATATATAATTTTATAACATCGTTATATATTTTTTTATAGATTTGAAAATTTTTTTCCAGAATTAAAGTGGGTATATGCATTGATACGTGACTGTGAGATAAGTTATGCCAAGAACAAAAAAAAAGTTTAAATTGAGATTTTTTTTTTATGATTTCTTAAGCGGGGAGCACAGACTCTTGCATAACGCATAACACATGAGGGATAAGAAATTAAACCAACCAGAGTTCTCTATTACATGGAAGGGAAAGAAACGGAGAACTTCGATTGGTACATATTCTTATGCATTACGTGTTATGCGTTATGCAAGAGTCTGCTCCCCGCTTTAGTCTAATATGGTGTTTAAAGTTGTCAAGTGGCAATATGCATTTATTTGATATAAAAGCTTTACAATCTATATTTACGAAATTGTAGTCTCCAGACTAGTAATTTACACGACATTAAATTCTTAGAATTGGACTATAGACTATAGACTTAATCCAAAAAATATTTAATTTTGGAGACTGGCCAGTCAAGGCGAGATCGGTCGGTGGTCCGTGAATCTTGACCTTCAGTTAACGCACAAACAAAAACATAACGCGTGATATTACATATCTTGAGTAATGCTAGTGCCGGCGATACTGTAACTTTGAAGCATTATAACTTGAAAAATACTTAATAAAAAAATATTTCATTATAGCGTTTTGGAAAGCTCTCGACATCAGCTATTAGATTCTTGAATCAAAAATAGGGTGTTCCATTTAAGAAAATCAATGTAACCTTGACCTGACCTTGGCTACGCAACCCAAGGTCAAACGATAGGATCAGTAAATAGATATTTTTAAACTATATAACTTTTGTCTGAAACACTTTTCTGTAAAACTTATATTTCCCGAGATATTTTGGTGTCCCAACCTTTTTGAGACACCCTGTATATATATAGGGATATGTCGATGTTCGTACATCATACGTGTGTAACGGCCAGTTGTTCCATCTTCGGATAAATTATATCCGAAGTGATAATTTATCTAATGGATAAATAAGAGTAAAAGAGTGAGGACATAAAAAAGTAAGAGAGTGAGCTGAAGTTTATATCGAAAGATGGAACAACCCGAACAACCTAGCTTATATCGCATACAATAAAACAACGATAAGATCGGAGCACAGACCTTTGAATGCTTAATGCATAAGAAAATTAACCAATTAGAGTTTTTTATTTCATAGAAAGGAAGGTAGGAAGGAAATGAAGGATTTTGATTGGTTCATTTTGTATTATGTGTTATGCAAGACTTTTTTGCTCATACTGTTGACGTTCGATTTTTAGTTTAGAATCCCTTTATACCTGTTTCCAAGTAGATTAAGTTTAATCTCAGTTCAACTTATTCTTCATCATATTTTAATTTTTTTTCTTAGGATCAGAAAAGTACTCTCTAAAACTTTTAGAGTTAATCTCACTCTGAAGAGTGAAATGTCACTCTTAAAGATTAAAAATTGAGCCACTCTATTTCAAAACTAACTTAATTTTTACTCTTTAGAATAAGATTCCACTTTAAAAAATTTAGAGAGTAAATTAAATAATCATAAGGTTCAGTATGTATAAAACACTATAAATAATAAAAGGGCATAGAACCATTGTTATAACGAACATATTTAATTACAAAAAATATAATATCACAAACGTTTCGACTCCGATCGGGTCATTTTCAATGCAAATAAAATTATAATTCTACAAGAAAATTATAAGTAATTTACGTAATATTCTTAGTAGATGGAAAAACAAGGGGTTTATAGATGACATTACATGTAGAAATCTACTCAGTACTGACGGCAATACTGCAAGGACTTACGGGTTAACGAAAATTCACAAAACTAATTATCCTCTCAGAATTATAGTTTCATCTGTTAATAGTCCGTTATATAATTTATCATTATATTTACACAAAATTATTAATGATACAATTCTCAAAGCTCCAAGTTACATTAAAAATAGTTTTGACTTAATTGAAAAGTTAAAAAATATTAAACTTGAACCTAACTCATCACTTGTTTTCGAGATATGCTACTTGGGAAAGGTCATTGAAAATTTTTTGAGAGTACTCAGGAGTTCTGATCGGCGTACTGGGCAGTTCTCGACGAGCTCTGACGAAAAGTATTAGGTGACAAAGCGATTG